CTGTTATACCTAATACACATAGACTGAAGGTAATTTTATTCAATATTTTTTTAAAATTGTTTTATTTTTTTAGTATTTCAGAATTCCAGGCAAGGGACACTCAACCTGTATTATAAGTGTGGTAAATAAAATACAAAATGTGACCAGGTCCCACAAATATAAAATGAAACAAAGGAAATAAATACAGTGTGGCATAGTGGTTTGAGTGTTGGACTGTGACTCTGGAGACCAGGGTTTGAAACCCAGCTCAGCCTTGTAAACCCACTGGGTGACCATGGGCAAGACACACTCTCTCAATCTCAGTGGATGGCAAGGACAAATCCCCTCTGAAGAAATTTGCCAAGAAAAACCTGTGATAGGTTTGCCTGAGGGTCTCCATAAGTCGGAAATGACTTGATGGCACACAACAACAACAACAACAACAACACATAATCAGATACCCTCTGCCAAGGAACAATGGCCTACAGTGGTCTTCTGAGCACTGAGTTGTCCCAGTTAATTAGAAGTACTCAACCTTCCCTCTCACCTCTGATAGCCTCATGAATTCTTTGATGGCCTTTCTCTCCCCTGGAAACTGTCTCTCCAACTGGTTCACAAAGGCTTCCTTGCCAGAATAGAGCTCATACTCCTTGTCCCCCAAGGTGATAATATCATAGGGATCCTCTAACCGAACCCACTCTAGGTGCCCATCAGTCAGCTGGTCTATGATCATTCGTGCGATGCTCTTCTCATCAACTTCTCCCACATAGTGGATGCCTAAGAACAATGAGAACACAGAAGCAGGGGGTAGGGAGGATATTTTTTTGAAAGGGAGCAACAGGTGAAGTGGACTGATAGTTCCTTCCTTCCTTCCACCTAGAGTTAGATCTGTTAACACATCTGCAAAGTCTTCTCATGCAACTAAAAGTAAATGAAAAAAACATATGAATATATGGTTATCATCAACACTATCTCAGTTTCACAGTCTACCAAGTATTACTGACTGGTGTTCTGGACCATCAGTCATTTGGATCCTGTCCAATAATATAGGAATCAGTGATCCAGCATAGTGTAGTGGTTTTTGAGCATTGGACTATGACTCTGGAGAGCAGGGTTTGAAACCCATCTTGGCCATGGAAACCCACTGGGTGACCTTGGGCAAATCACACTCTCTTAGCCTCAAAGGATGACAAAGGCAAAGTCCATCTGAAGAAACTTGGGAAGAAAACCCCATTATAGGGTTGCCATAAGCCAGATACAAATTTAAGGCACACAACATTTGTATCACATTTGGGTAGTGGAGTCACATTTTTTGAGTAGTGTTACATTTTGGAATTATTATATTGTGATCTGATTGATGGCAATTTCTTTCAAAAGATCTGTTTATTTATTTACTCATTCCCTGGCCTCATCCCCAACCCTGGGACTTAAGATGGTTTGCTGTTGCGGTGGTGGTGGTGGTGGTGTGCCTTCAAGTTGTTCCCAAATTATGGCAGCCCTAAGGCAAACCTATCACAGAGTTTTCTTGGCCAGATTTGTTCAGAGGCAGTTTGCCATTGTTTGTTTTGTTGTTTGTTTGTTTGTTTGTTTTGAGGCTGAGAGGATGAGACTTGCCCAAAGTTACCTAGTGTGCTTCCATGGCCAACAGGAATTTGAACCCTGGTGTCCAAAGACATGGGAGATTAGCACACTCTTTTTAAAGCACCTTTTCCCCAACAGGATAGAGGCATGTTTAAATTTACAAATGGATCTTATCACATTCACCCATGGCTAGGTGAATGCAGCCTCTATAGAGCCCAGATGCCAACAAATGCACCCAGATACAGCCCAGATGGCAGCCTGGCTTATTCTGTGGCTTTTCAAAAACAGGATTTTCCCGTTCTTGAAAAGCCGTAGAATAAGCCCCACTGGCATTTGGGCTGTATACGGGCTGCATTTGCCTGCCCCAGGGAATGCGATAACACCCATTTGTAAATTTAAACATGCTTCTATCCCGTTGGGGAAAAGGCACTTTAAAAAGAGTATGCTAATCTCCATAGTCCAATGCTCAAACCACTACACCACACTGGCTTACCAAGGTGGCTTACAAAAGTTAAACAGTATACCTCAGCTAACAAAGTAAGGTATTACATCTTTAACAGAAAATTTGGTAGCAGAAGCAGAAATAATATGGAAAGAATAGAGACAGATTCCTATGCTACACACACACACACAAAGGACTAGTTCAACATGTTTCAGCAGGCTTTTCATTCAAAATTAACATTAAGCACATGTGTCAGGTAAGCCTTGCATATGTAAAGAAAAGTATTTTGAATATTCCAGCAACTACTTGAAAGTTTCTTCCAAAATTGCATCTAGGGATGATTTCATTTTATTTCATGAGCCTCCACCTTTGTTATGATTCCCAATTTTGTATCTAAATCTATGGTTTTTAAACATGCTGCAAATATCTGGTAAGGCAAGCTTATCTGCTTTCCCCTTTTCTCCACTTTTTTGTTCATTACTATTCAGGAAGGGATTCTGGAGTCAGCTGCTGTTTATCTTCCCTGTTGTACGGAGGCACACAAAGCTACAGTAGGATCAGCTGGGTAGATAAAGAAAACCCTCTGAAATTATTTTAGGAAGAAAATTTTCAGCTGAGCTCTGGGTTTAAAATATTTTCTCATCCCACTTCTTAACATATATTCTCTCAAAACATGCCTTTTAACATGTATTAATATTGGTATTTGTACTTGGACTGACAACTGTTATCAGAAAATTGGACAAATGTATAGTCTACTACTGGGCAAATAAGCTAGAATCCAAACATCTGTTCTGCAGTTGCAGATCAGGGAACTCTATACAACTATAGCACTATGGCTTCACTTTAACAGCCACATCCTATGTGGCAACATCCTATGGAATCCTGTGATTTGGAGTTTAGGGAAGGGTCTTTCAAACTCTCAGCCAGAGAGTTCTAGTGTTTCCACAAATGACAGGATTCCACCAGAAGCATCCATGGTAGTTAATGTGAAATTGTAGCACTACAGTTGTGTGGTGTGAATGGTCTGCAGGTCAGTTCATATTTGAATCTGCAAAAATACCATTATTCAAAGCTTCTGCAAGTCCTGCTGTGAGTGAACCTAGTGAGGCAGCTGTCTGGTTCTCCTCCATCTGTGAAGTATTTCATATCAAATTTATTTCTTACCAACATCAAATTCAAAGCCCTTCTTCTTGTAAGTGTGACAACATCCTCCAGCTTTGCTGTGCTGCTCCAGCACCAACACTCATTTTCCTGTCTTTGCCAAAACTGCTGCCACAGAAAGACCTCCGATGCCACTTCCAATAACAATCGCATCTAAGTTGGAAGGTACTTTATCCTTTGAGAAAGCTGAGGACGAGAAGAAGGAAAGAGAGTCAGACACACACAAGTGATTTTTTTTGTGTAGGAGGAAAACCAGTGGCACATCAAGAATGCGCCATGAGGCACTCAAAGCAGGCAAAAGGAAACAATCTAGAATTTCAAAAAACTATGGTGTCATAATTCCTGGGGGGAAATTTGCAATCTACTTCAATCATTGGGTATTATCAACTTCAGTGGTTGGCAAAGTACAACCTGCAGGACACAGGCAGCCCCCCAGGGCCAGGATGAATTGAGTTAAGAGTTTTTGAGGTTAGCAAATCCTCCCCAACTCCATTTCTAAAAATCAAAAAGAATTCATATTTCAGACAAGATTCTCATGTGCTTTAGAAAAATAAACGTTGACCTAAATCCAATTGCTGTTCCCAACTAGAATACTGTCATCTGTTCGCTGATCTAACTGATCTCACTAGCTGGTCCACAAATAGGCCTCTGAAGCTGAAGTTTTGCAATATTTGCAATTTGTTTCTCCAAGAAGTTGAGGGATGCATGCACAATCCTCTCTTCCCACCTCTTTTA